CCCCCCCCCCCCCCCCGTTGAACGTCGTGTCACAAACAAAAGCTTAGAGATAAGAGACTGGAAATGCGGCTTAGGCAGCGGCTTTGTCAACAAATCAGCCAATTGATCTTCAGAGAAAACATGAGATACAATCATAGCACAAGCAATGACTTGTTCTCTAACAAAGTGACAATCTGTACCTACATGCTTCATACATTTGTGGATAACAGGAATCTTTGTGAGACATATAGATGATTGATTGTCACAAAACAGCTGTGGAGGAGGAACATGTATACGGAGATCATTCAGAACATAGGTGACCCACACAACTTCAGAACCTGCAGACAAAAGAGCTCTATACTCAGCTTCAGTGGAGGACTTGGACACACGAGACTGCTTTTCCGTGCTCCATGATATTAGGTTCGGTCCAAGATAAACAAGATAGCTAGTAAGACATGTCGTTAGCCCAGTTAGAATTTGAGTATGCTCGTAGTTGAAGATCACCAGATTGGAATACAAGACCTCGATCAATAGTCCCCCTAATAAAGCGCATGATCCTCTTCAAGCTTTGAACGTCATTTTCTGTCGGGTTATGCATGCATTGACAAACATAGTTCATATCAAACTGAATGTCAGGTTTAGTGGTAGTGAGATACTGAAGACCACCAACCAGACTTTGGAACAAAGTGGGATCATGAAAGGGTTCATCCCCCTTGCCTTCGCTGTGTGTCGGCCTAACAGGCAATGACGACATGGTGGGCTTACAGTCCTTCAATCTAGCCCGATGAAGAAGCTCAGAAACATACTTTTTCTGAGAGACAATGAGAGAAGGGGGGGTGTGATAAACCTCAAGGCCAAGAAAGTAATCAAGAGGACCCAAATCCTTTGTTTGAAACTCAGCACACATACGAGTAATAAAATCCTGAACAAGCACAGGGGAACTACCTGTAACAATAATATCATCAACATATACCAGCAAAAATAAGGACCCAAAAGAGCCGTAAGACGCTAGTATCGTGCTTGTTCTTGCAAAACCCGTAAATAAGCAAAAAACGAGATAGACATTCATACCACGCCCATGGTGCATGTTTCAAGCTGTAGAGCGACTTTGTGAACTTACACACATGGCAAGGGAATCGGGAGTCAACATAACCAGGGGGTTGGACTATATATGTGTGTGTGGGATTGCATCAAAATTAGGTGCACCAAAATGGTTTGAAAATGCATCATGTCGAAATGCACCAAAATCCTTTGAAAATGCACTATCTCAAAATCTGAGCGCAGGATGCAATCTGAGCCGCACGATGCATCAGATCCAACGGCTAGATTTTATTCTCATTTCTCTCCACAAGGTGCATTCTCATGGGAACCGGCCCCTATATATATATATATATATATATATATATGTATGTATGTATGTATGTATATGTATATGTATATGTATATGTATATGTATATGTATATGTATATGTATATGTATATGTATATGTATATGTATATGTATATGTATATGTATATGTATATGTATATGTATATGTATATGTATATGTATATGTATATGTATCTATGTATGTATACATATATATACATATATATATATATATATAGACCCACTAACAGCCGATCGGAGCTCGACCATATGGCCTAGGAATAAGTTCCCATGTGTTCTGTTGATCAAAGCTGAATATTCCTCATCCATAGCATGACGCCGAACTTCATACCCTCTCTAAATGGAGTGGGCTCAGTGACAGGAAGAGAAGAATTAATGGAGCTGGAAAATTTTTTTGGTTTAAAGATGCCACTCTTGGCGCGGGTTATCATCGGGTGAGTGGGTCGTAATGGAGAGGGGATTACGCGCTGGGCATTAGGCTTGGCAGATTGTGTGGGCGGCTGAGTAGGTTGGGCGTGTGGTTGGACAGGTTGTTGCAAGACAATGTCTAGCCGAGGCATAGGTGTGTCGGCTGGAATGGGTGAATTCTGAGGCGGAAAACCCATAGGTGATATATCTGGGCTCAGCCTCATCATGGTTCGCCCTATACCCTACACTCCCGGGGGAAGCCGAGGACCTATGTTTAAGCTATATGATCCATTTTGAAGGCCCTTAAACCCATGATCCTCCTCAATCCCTACAACCCAGAAACAACACCAAACCTTAACCATTCTCCCCCTTCTCCTTTTCATCTTGGCCGAACCCATCTTCCCCAAAACCCTACCTCATTCACCCCTCAAGACCATGTTAAAACACACCCAACAAAACCCCCTTCATAACCCTTAAGTTGGTCGAAAACAAGAAGCCAAAACAAACCCATTTACCCCTTAAAACATCCACCCAACAAGGCCCCCACTATGTCCCCTAAACCAGACACAAAACATCCATTACTTAACAAAACACACATGGCACAACTTTAACAATTTAACCACCAAATAAACCACCACACCACATGCCAAAACAACACATGCCAATCCCTCCCACTTGCCTCATGGCCTGG